CAGGTATAAATCGATTTTTTGAACAATTACGGATTTATTTTTATGCTAGGTACTTAACTGCACACACGTACAACATAGTCACCCACATACGGTGAAAATTTAATGTGATACCGATGCTAAAAATTTGTCGAATCAATAAKCTGGTAAGTAGTAATTAATGCTTCTGGTAAATACACCACTAAATTATTTTTATTGAAATGCCTTGAAACTCCCTAAATGCAATCATAAAAAAATTAATTTAATTTAAAAAAACAAGAATATTCTGTTGTTATGTATGAATTGTTCTGGCTTTTATGAAATGATCTTAGTAAATTATTAGCGTTGTATTATTTTTAACCAAAATAAAAGTTAAATATATTACCAAAATATAAATGTCTTTTTAATAACAAAAAAATCCAGGGTACTCACACTTTTGTTTTGTTTTGATTTTATATTCCGTTTTCTCGCTGCTTAGAGTTATTTTTTTCATAAATTTTAAATTTCTGATAAGATTTTTCCCATTTTTGCTGTCCTAACATACTAATTAGATCAAATTTGATGCAACAAATCATGTTGAATTTGAAAGATTTTAACATAATATTATTTTACGTTAAAAAGTTAAATAAAGATGACAGACAGAATAATGCTTACTACACTTCTACACATACAACTGTAAAACCTTAAAGGATAGTTATATATACTATAGAATAATGGTGTAATTTTTTTGAAATTTGAAATTAGTGATTGTTAATAAAATAATTACATTGTCTGTATGACTATTTTTGTTTGTTGTGTGTTAATAAATTTCAATTTGTATAGAAAATATAATTTCTGAAGTATTACTTGTGTTAAGTTGTTAATCAGTTAATAAAAAAAAAAAAGCGGAAAAAAAAGTCGTGGATGTCGCTCTGCTGTACAGTAGGTTACAAGTAGGTTACTGTAATGGATGGAATTAAATTTGAATCCAATGACATTATATCATTGTATACGAAAAACGATTCTGAGCGGAGACGGTTTATCTGCCTAGGATATATTATAGATAATTAAAATTTTTTATGAATTTCTAGCAAAAAATAATTTACGAATTTTCGTGATTTTTATGTATGTTGTCAAAATTAAAATTTGAACGCTTGTAAAAAAAAATTGTGACATGTATTTCTTTTATTTTTCAACTGCTATTGTAAAAATATTTTAGGAACCTTGTATTAAATTTTCAAATCTTAGATTTAAAAAGAAAATTTTTCATGAATTTCTAGATTAAAATAATTTGTGATTTTTACGTATTTTGTCAACGTATTATTGTGACAATCTGTTAAGAGGCTTGCATTAAATTTTCAAGCTGTTCTACCCAAAAAATCGAAGCATTTTTACTGCCCCAAAACGTGATGACAGACACAATTAAAAAAAAACACACATCATGGTGTAATCAATACATTCATTGCTCCGCTCAGAATCTAAAATATTTTTGATTTTCGCTATTTAAAATATTGATTATCCAATCAAATAAAAGTAAATAAATAAATTTATTTTAATTTTAATTTTAAAACCAATAAAATTATATTGTATTGCTTTGAGTATAAAATAACTCTTTTAAAAATAGGTATTTTGTAATTTAATATTTAAGTTGTTTTACAATATATGTTAAACAAAATGTCAAATGACAACATTTGCTTTTAGTGATAGTAGTGTTGAAATGGCAATTAAATAAAATAAACATGAATGTTATTCTATTGTTATTKTTGTTGAAGAATTATTGTAATCAACATAATATTGCTAAGGACAATTTAAATTGGTGATGTCGTGACTTTAACATTATAAAAACCACGGGAAGATTATTTAAGTAATAAACAAGCAAATAATTAATAAACAAATTAACAAGTAGTATATTTCCAATATAATAATATGAAGCTGCAAGTTATAAGTACATTTAATTATTTACATTAGACAATATTTTCAAGTAAAACTTAAATTATTAATATTAAATTTTTTCCGTATAGCAAATCAATACAAAAAAAACATTCAAACATAATATTAGAAAATATCGAAAACGTGATACATTTCCAGAAAATATTTTCTAGTGTTTCGAATTTCAAAATAATAAAANTATTAATAATGAATTTCGCTGTACGAATATATATATGTAATTGTAAAAAAAAAAAAAAAAAAATGAGAACATGTTTAAACCTATAATGTCTAGTAATTACTACAATACAATTTTATTATATAACATTATATGTAAATACATTTTTATCTTAGTTCTGTAAACAAGAACTATATATTAAACATTAATAAATGATGGCAGCAGAGGAGTAGTAGTGTTCATACAGATCCTCTTCTGCTGTCGGTTTAAACGGAAAAAAAAGACAAGAACTATATAGTACGGGCTCAGCTTCGAACGGGTTGGTTCAGACCATATACATTTTTTAATTAGAAAATAAAAATAGAAAATACAAAAAATGTGGTCTAGAAAGTTTTGTTTAAACTTTAGTGTTAAAAGATTTCGTATTCGATTTCAAGAAAAAAATCGGGTTCTTTTCTTAACTTTATTAATTACATTATATTTTTAAAACAATAGTAAATTTCAAACTAATCAAGTTTGGAATTATATCAAAACAAATCCTTATAAATTTACAGAGAAATGTTTTAATTTATAAATTGTGTTCAAAACTGTTTTATTCCACTAACATAATAGGTACAACTAGATTATGTATTTTGGATGTAAAGTTGCGTTCTGGAATCACACTTTTAACAAATGTTTTTTAGACTGGTTATTCTTTTTGTTTTTTCCAAACAGCGATCTCGATTCCTCAAAGCGTTTTAAAATATGGCGAAGGGCAGTTTTTGGTTGGTTGAGGTGGAATTTTATAGATCAGCTGTGACGTGACCTTGAAAATATAGTTTTGGATTCTCATATCATATATGGACGTATTGGACATTTATTAAACAATCAAGTATTTAATTATTTATCGGCTTTAAACCAATCGTATCATTTTGAAATTTAAAAAATGTTATTGAATTTCTCGCGAATGGATACCAAGTTAATTTAAAAATTCAATTAATTTATACTATGATCTGCTCTTGACTTGTATTAGAATTTAATTCAGGCCTAATTTTACTTAACTACTTATATGAGTAATAGTCGAGACTAGCATCTTAAATATGATTTTATTTAAACAGTGGTTGTTAAAAACAAATGTACTTTGTCCCCACTTCCCTAGTGAAAAATTTTCATTGTAATAATTATGATATTTACTAGAAGATTAACTATAGGAATATTATATTAAATGAATGCAATTAAATGGTCCTTTTTCATTAGTTATTTAACTCAGTGGTGCCAAAATATATATTTACCTATAACAGCTGTCATAGGTGATTTTAGTAGGTAGGAGAGTTACGTTTGTCATTCTAAATATATTACGATATGGATAATTGCATGTATTAGACATTACTGTCAATTGTAAACTAAAAGTTGATTATATTTCATAAAAAATTATAAGGTAAGGTAATTGAAATAGGTAAATGAAATAGGAGGGTGTCAAAATTTTATGTGGAGGTGTCTGATGTCATAGGTAAAATTTTGGACTTTGGCGCCTCTGATTTAACCATAATATGGATAATTGAATTATATGTAGGAATGGATAACGACTAGGAATCATTAACATCGTTGAAAATCGTTAGTTTAATTTCCCTCTGGGTACTTTTAATTTCTTATTAACTGGAATCAGAAAATTTCTAATTCATGGATACCTCGAAGTTGATTCAAGTGTGGGAAATTTTTTGACTATTATTAAGATTAAGCTTCTGTTTAACATGTTTGAAATTAATACTAAGGATAATGTATACATAAAAGTTACCTCATTGTATACGGGAATTGATTATTTAACTTTTTTTTTTTTATAATCGGATTAAACATATGAATAAATCCATAATAATACACACAGTTTATGTATCTAAAATTTAAAAAATAAATGTAGGTACTATTGAAAATGATAACCAAAATTACAAGTTTTCTATTTTTATTTATGTTTTTAACAATAAAAGCAAGTATTGTCTGTTGAATTAATTTTGATATTTACGTACATCATAATTTTTTGTATAAAACATAAATATTTTAACATCATATAGATTCTAATAGTTTATAGTGAAAAGTATTTGTAATTAATTAAAATTTGTTTACAACTCAAAAACAGATTGGTCGGAATTGATTTGTATTTTATTTAATGATAAAAAAATACTAATTAAAATGCAAAAATAACAAATCAAAACATCTGCTATTCTTATTAATTGCCTACAAAGCGTAAAATATGAAATGCCTCGTCGTATAGAAATTAGAAGTTGATGCTTTTTTTATGCACCACGAGAAAAAGTCAGAAAACTACAAGTCATGATAAAATTGTATCTAAATCTTGAATCTTTTAGAAATTATGTGATTGCATGATATTTACGTGATTTTTGATTATGTAATCCGATTTTAATCTGCACTAATCGACTAGAATAAGAATTAAAATGTATACAAATGTGAGATAATATATCATATTTGTGCTGTAAAGGTGTTTGTAAAATAAAGCATTATAATATTGCTATTTATTTTTGGAATACTTTGGCAAGGTGGTTGGTTATTTTTGTTGCAGGGGCTCATCACATATTGTGTGTTCGTTATGTGTAGTTGTGTAGTAAGTCACATACCATAAAATTAATTTTTTGAGAGGAATACTGAAAGTAAAATTTGTTTGAATTGTTTTTAATTATGGTTTATATAATAATATAATATTGTTTTCGTATAAATGCGTGTTTATGACTTGGTTACATTAATAATATTATCAAAGTGTTCAATATTCATATAACTATCTATCGTGGGAGTTGGAACATATTTTTCGAGAATTAAACACTTCATTATGTTATGAAATGTTCTATTTATATAATATAATTTATTCATATTAGATTTATTTATTGTTTTCAATACAAAGAACCTTTTCTTATTATGAAAATTATATTTTAATCACAACGGTAGTGCCTACGCATAAAAAAAAAAAGACAGATTTATAGAAAATATTATTACGTACGCACATTACGTTATAAAACGTACATTATTATGCTCTCGGCGCGTGTACCTCTGGTATGTAATTTAAATACCATACACGCACGTGTGTGCATCGTGGCGCATACCGCGTATGCAGGATGTTATCTCAAACCAACGATTTATGTATTATAAGGTGTCGTCTTTATTACTTCGTCTGAGTTTACTTGCCCCTCTACTTCCACCTACCCACCGCACAACATACACAAAAAATCACTAAATACACTAAAAATAATAATAATAAAAAAAAAAAATCCATTGATTCATACACACGTCACCAGATGACTATGGCGTCTTTGATGCCACAACCATTCGTGAATTTTTTTATGATGAATATAATAAAAAAATAATAATAACGACATAATATATTATTGTATACGTATATATAGATATTACAAGTGCAATGTCACCGAGATCGAGTGCAGAGCACACAAGCCCTTATCGAGACTTACGTGACCGCCACCACGAGCATGGCTGCCGCAGCGATCAGTGCGTAACCCAAGTTCAGCAGTGGGTTCGTGTTGTTGGTCTGCTTGGACGATCCGTTGTCGGACAACACGCTGCTCGCCAGAACAATGGCCGCTCCGCTCTTGGCGCCACCCGTCGCCGCAGTCCTGGTCACGGCGTTCGTATCCACMGAGCAGCCCTAGAGTCGACCAAAATACAAAACAAAAATATAATGATAATGAAACGCGTTTTGATATTTCGTACTAAGACAATTTTTTTTTATGAATTTGGAACGATTTTTTCGAAACGCGATCATTTTAAATTATTTTTTCTAAATTTTCTTTTTAATTGCTTTTGATTCCATCAATATTTTTATATAAACCTCGAGTTGATTGACAAAACAATTAAAATTATCAAATTTTGATATTTAAATGAAAAACAATATATGGATTGTAGCAGTAGTATCCCGACAATTGAGCGCAATATAAACTATTATGTTAGAATAATTAAAAACATCAGTAGGTATATTGCGGGTATAATATGTTGATTCTTTTTAAAATATAAAAATATAAAAAGATAATAATGATAATAAATAATAAAGATTCTTTTCATTACTAAAAAATTATAACGTATTATATAATTTAAAGTAGGCCGGGTTCATAATACTAGAGCATTAGCATAATTAAACAAACGTAGGCTTTTGAATTAAAATTTTGTTTTTATTTTTGTAGTATTTAAATAATAGATAATATACGATTTTATAGATTTATGCTGTGATTGAATTGTGGCTACAGGCTGGCCTACCTATAATTTTTCGGGTTTCTTGTATTTAAGTTAAACGAGAGAACGCCAAACACAGTGGGCCACCTTCTATAGAAAATAAAAACTAGAACAATCAAAATTTCAAACATTTTGTACGAAAATATAATCGAATAATCTCACGCGTTCAATATTAAAGCCCATTAACAATACATTTTGGAAACGATCGGTGAACGAGCTTACACGTGGAGTAGAGTTCAAATAAAATTCCGAGTCGTAACACAAATGAGTACACCACCATCCGATTAACTTCTCCAAATCATTACAAGTTTCCTTAACGAGCTAAAATTAATCCTAAACCCCCTCTTAGCTGCTCTAACATCCCCAATAAAAAAATKTCCACTCCTCATCATTTCCACTCCTTAATTAACACACGTATCACATATCTAAAACGAGGTCGTCTCCACGACCTTCTACACTAAGCCACCTCTCAACATCCAAATCTTCACTCTACGACTTCAGTTACTTATAGTTATAGGTACTATTGTAAATATGTAAATATCAGAATATTATTGTAATCTTAAAATTACCAATTGCTAATATTATCCTTAGTACTTAAAAAAAAAATTTAATTATCATGTTATAATGTTAAAACTATTACTATTCAAACTGTCAAATATCCCTAGATTTAGATAGCCTTAGGCAAGGAATGTCTTACGTTAAAAAAAAAAAAGCACAAATGAGACGTAGGTATAATTAAGTTGTTATTATTTTCAAAAAAAAAAATTTGTAATTACTGTGGGGAGTTTAACCCGAGTTTTTAGCGGTGCTACAGAACGTTGGACTAAGTAAAATACCCATATATAATAATACTATATGAATCAAACCAGTGGGATTGTTACARAAATGAGGATTTGAGGGCCTTTTCAAAATTGCAATTGATGTTAAAATATGCGCTATTTGTTTATATTTTGACCGCGAAGGTAGCTCACTCGTTGTAATACTACACATTAATAACCCTAAGTAAAATTTTATAAAACATGAATACTGTAGTAGTGCGGTGCAAAGTGCACAATAAATTTACTATATGATTGATGCATAAAATAATTTTTAATCATCTAATGCATGATAATTAGAAAAACGATTGTAATGTCGAATTTCGAATGATATATTCGAACTAAATATTTTACCACTCACTATTATCATCATGCATTTTTAACATAGCACCGTTTTAAATTAGTTATTTTTCTGTGCGAAAATATCAAATATAGTAATGAATGATGAGTTTACTTTTATAGTTTGTCAAAAATAAGTTTGACAACATTTCAACTTGCAATATTTTTGTATAATTATAAGGACCTTTCTTGTTTGAAAACAATTCATTGTAGTTCAATAGTTTAATCATTTATTAAGTTACTTAAGATAGTATTTTAGTTATTCACATTATTTTATTTTACGTTATATAAATGCTGACAGTTATTATTACTGGTTAAAACTACTTAAAATAGCTAAGTAAATTATCATGTCTAAACATTGACAYTATAAAATATAATATTCCATCTAGTAAATGGTAAATTATTTATTTTTAATTTTTATCTAACTAGGGGAAAGGTAAAAGTGTTAAACTTACCTTTCTACATAATAAATATTTCTATTATTTGAAGGTTACACATTATTCCATAATCTTCAGTTTTGTACAATGTAAATTAATATTTCTATATCTGATATCAAAGTAATATATTATAACTTATAATTTCATAGATAAATGCATATTATGATCTCTACTGTTTTGTGTCATTAGGTTATGGTTTATAATATAAAACAAGACATCTACCTACGTGATAACATATAGATGTTTCTATTATAGTATGTAAATCTTAAGTGCATATTTTATAAAATTGACAATGATGTTTTAGAATATTTTGTTTGTAGAAAGACCAAACTTCATTATTTAAGCTATTGTTTATTGATTGTATTATGTTTAACGAACTTTAGGTATTGCACTTTTGCATCTTTAATGTTATATTTACTTATGGTTTTTATTTTGTAGGCAATTTTGCATTATTAGTTGTTATGTAATAAGTAAAAAATGYCATCAAATTGTGTAGAATTCCATAGCAGAAAAGCTGGAAAGTAGGCAAAACGGTCTGTTGTATAGTTGAAGCTATCGAGTGTACCTCATCCTTGAGTATAGGTCACTGTAATGGCTGTGTTTAATTTGAATTCAAATACGTATTTACTAATATGTACTTATTAATATTATTACTGTGTATATTTTAATATAGGTTTATATTGCTATATTATAGTTATTTAGCTATTATATTACTACTTATTATAAGTACCACATACAGGAGGTATAATATTAATTATTACAATAATAATAGTTCTATTTGTTTAAATCGTTTATTATTATTAAAAGATAACTCTATACTTTTAAGTCAATACTGATTTAATATAAAATGGTGTGATTAGATTAGTAATATAAATAGACAACAGCTTACAGCTTATCTAAATATTTTGAAAAAAGCATTGTGCATTATAAAATATAATATTTTAATATTTAAAAGTTTCAACTTTCATGTCTCTACGAATAATATTTTTAAACAACATAAAAATAACTAAAATGGTTATTCTCGTCCAAGTACTCAATTTTGCAAAATTTTAATTCTAATTGTTTAAAAAAAATTGTGCCCAAATATACTTCATTTTTTTAACATATTTTATGGATTTTCGTAAGAATTACTAATTATTTGGAAACTGGTATATTACACTTTCGAGTTACATTTTTAACTACAAAATAATTTGCAAAGTGTTGTGGTTTTAACAAATTTTGAACTTTTAATTATAAAATAAATGGTTTCTTTATATTATTGATATTTTTAACTGTAATAAAAATCACATATATGAGACCTTGTATTACATTTCCAAGATTTTTGATCAAATAGATGATAATTTTTTCGTTAACATTGATGAAAAACAATACAAAAAAAGCGTGTAAGTGGGCGTCGCTCTGCTGTACATTAGGTTGGGGGGGGGGGTGGACCTCTGACTAGGGTAGGTTAGATTTGAATGCAATGATAGGTATCATTGTATACGAAAAACGATTCTGAACGGGAGATCATTTGTCAGTCTAGGATATATCATATTTAAATATTGTCATAATATATTCTATTTTGAAACAATTAATATTTTATTTTTCAATTAGGACGCATTTTGCATAAGGCATGCTTAATCAATTTTTCCAAAAACATTGCATGTAGTTATTATAATTCATAATACCTTATATTATCATAGATATACGTCATATACCTGGTTTGAGGATAAATCGTTATCGTTACGCGATTTCATAAAAATYWAAAACTCAAACGCTCAAAACATTTTTCCTATAATAACGCTTCAAATTTTCTCTATAGCTATTTGAAGCAAAACTTATGGGAAACTTAGTGTTGAATTTTATAGCCTTAGATATAAATACAAACAATTTTATGAATTTTGAACWTCAAAAGTACTTGCAAATTTTAGCGTTTTYGATAGATTTCGTAAAAATTTGAAATATAAACGCTTATAAAAAACAATTGTGACTAACGATTTTTAATTTTTTTTAGCTACAATAAGAACAACTCATAAGGAACCTTGTATTAAATTTTCAAGTTTTTTTGGTCAACCAACATTTTTTTACTGACACTTTAAAAAAAAAAATTGTCATAAAAATCGAAAATGTCAGTTGTCTATAAATAACTCAAAAAAAGTCAAAAAATTTTGAAAATTGAACTGTATATAAATAACACTTACATAAACATTTGGTAAAAATTTCAAGTGTTTACATTGATTAGTTTTTGAATTACAACCATATAAATAAATAGATTTGGTCGAAAACTGGTTTTGCGTAAAAATTCCCGTTTTTCTCTCATTTTTTTTTTTGTTTTTCTCGTTTTTTTTTGAAAACTGTTGGAAAATGTTTACTTTTGACCTGTATAATGTATCAAGGATAGTCACTTTTACATCGGAAACCACCCCCTAAGTTTGAAATTGAAGCATTATTTCGACTAGTTATGCTGTACACAGACACACACACAAAAAAAAAACCCACACATCATTGTAAAATCAATACATTCATCACTTCGTTCAGAATCTAATATATGAAATAAAAAATGTCTATTATAATAGCACAAAAAGAGTCAAAATATTTTAGTACATTATATTATGTTACATGGAGCATACTGCATATAGCATATTAATATTAATGAACATTTTGAGTATCTACAGTTATTCGTTTTTAAATTGTTACAAAATAACAAAAAACCAATTTCATCAAAAGCTGGTTTTGTAAAATAATTCCGTTTTCCCATTTATTAGAAAAATACTTGGGAATGTATACTTTTGACACTCCAACATACTAATTAAATTCACTTTCCTATCAGAAAATATATTGAATTTGAA